GGGGGGAATTGCATCACCACTTGTGCTCCTAACTGGTGATTGTTGTCAATTTTGCTAATTTGCTAATCTTATAAAAGTGTGTTCACCCCATGGGGGGGCTTTTGTGGGCATTTTCCATACTTGCCCCTAGAGGCCTCCAATAAAGGCCAACCTTTACATTGCCTCCTATACTAACATTATGTCCAAAGTGTGTTTCATTTATAGGTTCTTAAGGCATCACTATCCCGAGGGTGATCCTGTGAATGCCAGGAGGCAGCACAGCCCAGCTGAGAGCTGCCTCTAAAGCCCTGCCCTGCAGGCAGGCTGGGGGCACCTGGAGCACAGCACTGCCTCCAAACCCTTTGGAGGAGAGATGCAGGAAAAGGGCACAGGACCAGGATCTTTAATGGAAATCTCTGCCCTGCCAGCTCAGGGAGGTGTGATGCCTTGGAGTGGCTCCCTAGAACACAGCTAGACCAGATTGAGAGAATAAAGTGGGGATTTATTAAAGGCCTTCAACAGACACACCTTGGGCAGTCAGAGCTTCCCAGAGGCTACACCCAAGATGGACAATGGTCGTGAGTTTTTCACACAATTATAAATTTGGTCCATTTACATATCAGGGGTTAATCCTCCAATTTCAGCTTCAGGTAATGAAGTTATTTACCCCCAGTTTGCTCCCCAACAATACATTTTTGTTTATACTTTTCAGGGCCTGAGGCTGTAGGGTCTCCTTGCATCTCAGGCCCAGAGGAATTGTTTTGTCTGACCAAAATGTGGAGACAGTTAACTAACACTTTATATGGAGTTTAGAGTTATGCACTAACGCAGTGCGGGATTTGGAAAATAAAAAGGCTAAAATCTTAATGCATCAGGTGAGAGGGATTTCTGATGAGGAGACTGTGGGAGCTGATTTGTCTGGAGAAGAGAGGACTGAGAGGGGATCCCATCAATCCATGTAAATAACTCCAGGAGGTGTCAGAGGATGGTGCCAGAGGCTTTTCAGTGACAGGACGAGGAGCAATGGCCATAAATTAAAACACAAGAAGTTCTACTTCAACACGAGGCAGAAATTCTTTCCCCGAGGGTGGCAGAGCTCTGGAACAGCTGCCCAGGGATGGTGTAGAGACATCCCAAACCCACCTGGACACGTTCCTGTGTCACCTCCCCCCCTGTCTGGGATCACTCTCACCTTCAGGCCGGTGCTCTCTGCCTCGGAGCCCTTGTCCACACCCGTGATGTAGATGCCCAGGGAATATTCTGCCCCTCCTCGGATCATGAGGCCCAGGGATTTCCCTTCATTCAGGACCAGATTCACCTGCAGAGGAATAGCAAGAGCCATTTATGTGGTGTCCAAGTGCTGCCCAAAACAGAGGTGAGGACACAGCCCCAGAGCCACACCCCTGCCATGTCCCTGGCTCCTGTGGGATGGAGGAAGCAGTGGGAGGAGAAAAAAAAGGAGGAAAAGCCCTGGAGGCTGAGAGGCTCAGCTTCATGTGGGTGGATTTTCAGCCACAAATCAGCTGACCCACAGCAGTTTTCCACTCTCTCCTTTTACAGGTGCATCCCTGGGGTAGAGACCGAGCTGAGAGCAAACCCCAAAACCCCCTGAGCACCAGTGGGGTGGTGCCAGGCAGCACTGGCTGTGAATTCCCCCTCTGGCATCGGTGCCTGTGCAAACAGAGCCACGATCCCAGACTGGGATGAGCCCAGCTCCACCCTCTGCCCTTCCCTGTGCAGGGCCACTCCAGGCACTCCCCACAGGACAAACCCCACAGGGGCTCCTCCTGCCAGCCACGTCCCTGATTATCTCCAGTTAACAACGAATTAACCAGCCAGGACAAACTTTCCGTAGATCCAGCACATATTTGCAGAAGACATTTCGTATTTCCCACAACCTGCCAGGCAGCACCTGGACAGATGTTCTCCCCCACCAAATGCTGATTTGCAAACCCAGCTTCCATCTGCCTTTATCCACCCTCTCCTGCTCTCGGGGCCTGACAATATTTGGATGTGCAGGTGGGAATTTGGAGTGCATGAGCAAGCCTGTGCTCAGCTCCCTCGAGGACTCTCCATTTAAAATGGCCTTTGTTCACTCGCTGCATGACACTTCTAAATGAATAACTCCAGGGTTATTTTTTTGCTTTGCTCCCAAGTTTTGAGTCACTTCTGGAGAAAAGCAGACAGCAGGAATAAAAACAAATGAGAAAAGCCAAAATATGTTTCACACTGATAGAAACAACCAGAAACAAGCTGTTTGTGAAAGGCTTTTATATTTAAACACCTTTGCTGCAGTCAAACCAAAATCTTGCACATTTACCTGGATGGAAAAATAATTCCCAGCTTCAAGTCCATAATTAATCCATCTTTCTAGAGGACACGGCATCACAGAGGGAATTCAGGCCAATCTTAGAGTGGCTGGTATTGAAAACCCATTTTCTATCTTGGTGATGGAAGCACAGAAATCAGCAGCAGGACACAAATCCACCTAAGGCTCCACATTTTAGATTCAGAGAAATGGATGCAAAGCTGGAATGAGAACTGTAAGACATCAACTACCTGTACCAGCATCCTTGTCTGAAAAACTTGATGTTCCCTGCATTTCTTTTCCCTGCTTTAAAGGGCAGAAAGTGCTGGAAACAATTTTAGCATTGAAGGATTATGAAGGAATTACAGAGACCTTCATGCTTCAGGCTGGAGAGACGAGCTGGGCACTGAACCCACCCAAAGGAGCAGCTGCTGTCACTTCCAAGGGCACTTTGCTTTTCTCTTCACAGGAAAACCTTGCTCTGGACCACAGAACACTTTTCTGAGTGCTTTGAAAATTAGAAAAACATTCAACTTCTCTGAAGTGCTGTTACCTCCCAATCTGTCTGGTGGCATCTGCTCTAAGTTTTTCACCCCACCTCTCAAAAATTCCCCAGCTTGGGAAAAATACAAGTAGGAAAAATACAGCAAGGTGCCTGGAATCACAGATCATGTCAGAATAGACTGGCAATGAGAAAATTCCCTCTCTAAGTCCCCGAATGACATTTGTGAGTGCTGGGGTTCGCACCAGGAGGGGCAGCTCCACATGCAGACATTTCCATTTCCCTTTAACACTATCCTGGTAAGCTGAGAAGCTGCTCCCCCCACGTGGGGAGAGCATCAGGTGGAGTAAGAGATACCCCCTGTCCCTCTGCTCCCGAGGTGCTGCCACGTGAGCTGCTCTGTTCACCCCTGCACTGGGCAAACCTGCACTCCCAGAGGCAGGAAAGCCACGGATACAGAAATCCTGGAGCCACAAAAACCAGCAAAGCCACAGGAGCTGTGTGGAAAAACCTCAGTGCTCCTGGAAAATGCATCGCTGCTGGCAGCCCAGAAAGTTGGGCTGCTGAGGGCTTAATTGCATCTCTTAATCAGCTAATGGCTGAATTCAGGCTCCCTGAATGAACCCTGCAGCAGGAACTGCCGGGAACAGCCAGGGAGCATCCAGAGCATGGACACACTGCAGGTTTTGGGAATGGATGGGGAGGGAGACAGGGCTGGCAGGCACTCAGTGGGGAGGGAAGGTGATGCCTTTTGGGGCCACCTAAAAACAGAGGCCAGACTAAATCAAGGGAATAAAAAGCAGTTCTATTTATTGAAGGGCCCTCAGGTACATTTAGGGCAGACAAAGCCCCCAGGGGCTACACCCAAAATGGACAATGGGTCACAGGATTTCACACTTTTATCAGTTTGGTCCATTTGCACATTGGGGGTGAATCTTCCAATTACAGCTTCAGGTAATGAAGTCATTTACCCAAGGTTTGCTCCCCCCAAAACTCCCTTTTGTTTCCATCTCTGGGGCCTGAGGCAGTGAGGTGTCCTTGATTGCCAGCCTGGAGAGGAATTGTTGTGTCTGCCCAAAATGGGAGAGCAGCAGCTCACACTGGGTATGGAGTTCAGAGTTATACACTAAAGAACTGCAGGGTTACAGATAGATGGAAAATAGAAAAGTTAAAATCCTGAGGCATCACAGGAGCAATGGGATAAGCTGATTGCCAGGATGAAGCCAAGGCTGAGCCACTCCATGCCAAGGGCTTAGGGATCACAGGGGACAATTTGCTCTCCTTCCCAAGGGTCTGTGTCCCCAGTGATGGGCACAGCACAGGGGTGGTGACAGAGGGGTGGCCCTGCCGTGCTGGCTGTCCCAGGCACAGCATTGTCACAGTCCTGCCAGCCTGGCCCCACACACGGCTCTGGGGTGACACTGAAGCACAAGGAGGTTAAACCTGTGACCAGGCTGATGTTCCCAGTGGTTCCCAGTGGTTCCCATGGGACAGTGGTGATCCAGGGCCCCTCTGGGATCACACCTCCAGCACAGCATTCCCTGGGCCAAGCCCTTCTGCTTGGGCTCTTCCACTCAGGCTGGCACGTGTGATTAACACTCTGGTGCCAAGGCTTGGCCCAAAGAGGGAATTTTGGTTCCATTTCCACTTTATGCTTCTATTCTCCCCCCTGGCTGAAGCTCCCTCAGTGTGAGAAGCTGTGACATCCCTCAGGGAGAGCTGGGATCGAGTGATCCTAAATCCAGACTGTCCTGGCACCACCCTAAACCAGGCAGCAAACAAGGGCAGCTGTTCTGTGGGGGAAACTGAGGACATCACAGATAATAGAATGGTTTGGGTTGGAAGGGACCTGAAACATCATCTCTTTCCACCCCTGCCATGGCAGGGACACCTCCCACTGTCCCAGGCTGCTCCAAGCCCCAATGTCCAACCTGGCCTTGGGCACTGCCAGGGATCCAGGGGCAGCCACAGCTGCTCTGGGCACCCTGTGCCAGCCCTGCCCACCCTGCCAGGGAACAATTCCTGCCCAATATCCCATCTAATTCTACCATCCTTCAGCTTAAAGCCATTCCCTGTGTCCTGTCCCTCCATCCCTTGTCCCCAGTCCCTCTCCAGCTCTCCTGGAGCCCCTTTAGGTCCCAGAGCTGCAGTAACATCCAGGCAAGGTCACCCCCACACCTTGCCAGGCATTCCCACAGCACCATCACTGCCCAGTCCCCATCTCCTTCCCTGAGCCATTCCCAGGCTGTGCCCAGCCCCAGGTGACTCCTGTGTGCATCCCACAGAAACATTTGGAAGTCCAAGGTCACAGTTTTAATTTCTGTTTCAACACTGAAACATCTGCCATCTCCTGTAGCAGAAAGTGAAGGAAAAAACACCATTATCAGTGAGGCACTTGCTGATTCCTGCACAGGATTTCTTCTCTCTGGGTTTATGGAATTACCTGTTGACAGATTCAATTTTGCCATTAGGAAAAGGCTTTTCAGAAGGAATTAGCCTGCCCCAGCACGGCTCAGCACGCAGCAGTGTGGCTGAGGAGGTTTCAGCCATGCTGGCAGCTATTTCCAGGCCATTACTGCTGCCACACAACACAAAGAGCACCTCGGGAGGCTCACAGGGCTCATCCTGCTCCTCCTGCTTCCCAAGGAAACCCCACCGTTTGTGTCTAGACATCCACACACAGCGAGTGTGGGGAGGCACAGCTGGCCCCCAGCCATCCACCGAGTCCTGGGAGCAGCTGGGGGTGTCCCAGTGTCACCCCCTGCCCATGGGGGACTGGGGCTGCCACCCAATAGGCAGCACTGGGGACAGGGAGAAGGTCCCAGGGCTGAGAGGTGACACCAGAGCACAGGGGCAGTGACCAAACCAAGTCCTGTGCCCATCCTAAACCTCAGTCCAGCTCCTGGTGAGCCCAGCGCTGCCTCCCCACGGGCCAGGGCTTGGCTCACTCACCAATTGCCACTTTTGGGTGCTTTTCCTACTTAAAGTGCCTAAAACAACCAAGAGGTGGAACTGCTGCCCCTCAGGGTGTGACACAAAAGGCATTTTTGGGTAAGTCTGCTGGGACAGAGCTACAGAATGCCCGAGGCAGAAGGATGACTCCTGGAAACACTGAAAGCCAGGCTGGATGTGGCTCAGCCTGATGTAGCTGAAGATGCCCCTACTCACTGCAGGGGGTTGGATTAAATGGGATTTAAATGTCCTTTCCAACCCAAATCAGTCCATGCCTTCAATCCCCAGCACACCGGTGCACCAGTGGCTCACATCCCACATTCCAGTCCCACAGGGAACTAAGGCAGCCCCCCACGAGCCTGGATTCCCTTAAAGCTGTAAACAAAATCAAAGCCCAGCAAGGTCAGAGCAAGCAAACAGTGAGAGACATGGGGAGCTGGATCATCCACACTGCAAATGTCATTACAAACTAATAGCAAGAAATCCTTCCTTCCCTCTCCTGCGTCTCTTATCCTTCATGCTCAAGTAGTCACCAGCAGTGTCTCAAACATTCAAGCCACGCAATATTAGCACAGATATTTTATTTTTTTTTAATAATAATTACTGCTACTTTTGGCTCCAGAATTGCCTGAAGCTGAGGAGATGTTCACACTCTATTATATTTTCTTTCTTCTGCTGCACCAGGAATAAGCAGCTCCCCTGGCAATAAGCACATTAAGGCACCAATTCAGCTGATGGAATGGTGCTTCTCAGAGAACTCGCAGCCCAGCACTGCCAGAGTGCTTTGCACACTTCATCTTCCTCCCAGCTCAGCAGCACCTCCGAGTTTTCACTGTCTGAGGCTTTCCAAAGTGCTTTTAATGAAATAAGCTGTCAATCCCAGAAGTCCATCAATGACAATTCATGGCACAAATGGCTCTTGCTGCTGCTGTGACAAATCCAGAGGACTCTAAGCCTGCACAGACGATAAAAATCCGAGTGCTCTGAAGCAGAAGGTGAGCACGGGAAGCAGGTCCCAGCTTTCCAGCAGGCAGGGACATCCTGGGATGGGGCTGGGGGCTGTCACCTGCTGTTCTGCCTGGCCTGGCTCCAGCAGCATTTCCCAGAGCTTTGCACTATTGCAAACCCTTCCTTTCACACTTCCTGACCACTGGTGACTCCTCCTGCGGGCACAGGGCTCTGATGAGACCTGGATTCACCAATTACAACCACAGGAAAATGCCAAATTTGGGAAATACAGCACCTGCCACACACAGCACAGCCATGGAAAGCAAGGATCTGGAACACCTCGCACAATCACAGGCTGAACCTGCCAGCAGCTCCTTCAGCCCAACATTCCCTTAATCCTCACCTCCCTTCCCCAGTGCCATCACTCATGGGAGGTCAGGTCTGCACAAAACCTGGCCCAGATCTCAGCACCCCACATCCCTGCTCACCCAGAACAGCCTCGGATCTGAGCTTGGGGCAGGCTGGATTCTGCCTGGAAGAGGATGGGGAAAGCCAAGCCAGCTGCCAAATCCCAATCCCCAAATCCCTTTGGTGGGGATCCCTGCACAGCTGGAAGTGAAGGAATCCCAATGTCCAGAGGAAATGGGGACAAAGGCACAGGCTGGGATCGCTGCCTTTGGAGCTGAACCACACTGCCCAAAGCCACCCTGTTCCACACCTCATCCCACTGGGATGGTCCCACAGATCCCTGGATGGATCAGTTACACCATCACACACCTCACAAGGGTGGTTTCCATTTCAAGCCTTTGGATAACAAATCCTTCTGCCTCAGGATAATCAACTCCCTAAACTCAGTGACAAACCCATCCTTGCAGGCATGCAGATGTGCTGCAGGAAGAGCATCCAGACAGGGATATTTCCATTGCCTGAAGAATGCCAGATGCCTCCAGCAGCTTTGAATTTAACCTTAGGAAAGCTGGAAATATCCCTTTGACTTCAGAGGTGTTGCAGTCATGCTGAGCTGTGGATTCACCTCCTGCTGCAGGGCTGGAGCTGCTCTGCTGTGCTTCCCCAGCCCTGCCTGCTTGAAAGCTTTGGCACATTCATTCCAGGACATTCAGATCGATTACAAATAGGAGAGAGGGGGATAAAAAAAAATAACCAATTCTCCCCTCAGAATGTAAAACCACTCACAAATCAAACAGGCCTTGGTGTCTGTCAGTTCTGGTTGACTGGGCTGAATTAACCAGGGATGTGCTGCATTTATTTGCATTTTTGTGAACAGAATAACCCCACTTTCAGCAGTTAATTATATGCCTGTAGCTACCCATAAATCTACACATACAAATAAAAAGGGAGAAAACTGGAGGCAGGTTGTTCCCCTGTTCTGGGACACGTTTTCCCCCCTCCATGGTGCTCAGTAATTCAGGCCACAGCGACTCAGCCCATCCATGCCCTGCAGCCTGTGTGCAGAAAATGTCACTCCAAATAATCCCTGTCCAACACCAGCCAGGGCAGGCTCAGCTTGCTGCCAGCAGCCTTGGGTCAGGGGGAATTGCTTCCACCACCAGCTGGCACAGCAAGGCACCTCTGGATATGGAGGTGTCTGGGCAGCCTTGAGCATTTCAGAGCAGTAGCAGCCAGTAATTTCCTTTTTTTCTGCTCTTACAGATGGGAAATCAGGAGTGGAGGCTGCTGCAAAGTGCATTCCAAGCCTTGTGCACTTCAAGCAGTGACCAATGTCCCTGCTGGTGTGTCACCAAGGAGTGGGGCCAGGAGAAGGTTGAACATCCCTCTCCATCACTGAGAGCTTCAAATATTTCCTGCAGCTGCCATGGATCCTTCCCAGGTTAACAGAGGGGCCTCCAGCTCCCTGTCCTGGGGTCAAAGTGGGATCCTCTGCTGGAGAGATCCAGAGGAGGCACCAGGGGGATCAGAGGATGGAGCAGCTCTGGGATTGTTCACCTGGAGAGGAGAAGTTTTGGGGTGAGCTCAGTGTGGCCTTGCAGAGCCTGAAGGAGCTGCAGGAAAGATGGAGAGAGACAATTTACAGGGGTCTGGAGGGACAGGACACAGGGAATGGCTCCCACTGCCAGAGGGCAGGGCTGGATGGGATATTGGGCAGGAATTGTTCCCTGGCAGGGTGGGCAGGCCCTGGCACAGGGTGCCCAGAGCAGCTGTGGCTGCCCCTGGATCCCTGGCAGTGCCCAAGGCCAGGTTGGACATTGGGGCTTGGAGCAGCCTGGGACAGTGGGAGGTGTCCCTGCCATGGCAGGGGTGGCACTTTAAGGTCCTTTCCAACCCAAACCAGTCTGAGATTCTCTGAAGAAGCCAAAGGGCTGCCTGGCTGTGTGGAACAGCACCAAGGGATGGAAGGACACAATTTTGGAAGAGCCACTCCTCACACCTGGGCAAATCTGCACACACCAGGACAAGCAGGAGCAGGAGCACACCCAGGGCTGCCACATCTTCCCAGGGCTCTGCAAGTGGCCAGGACCACACGAGGCTGAGACAGAGGCAGGGGACACTCAGCTCCAGGTTTCTGAGCCTTTCATGTCCACACACAGCGAGGACTGAAGGAATGATGTGCACAGAAACAAATCCCCACAGCTGCCCAGAGCTGCTGCTGCTCTGCCAAGGTGACATTGGGTGGCAGGGGGTGGGGGACCCAGCCAGCAGAGCCTGCTTTTCTCCTCTCCTTAAAATAAAAATAATAGGCCCTTCTCCCTTGTGGCCCACATGAATATTTCATCAGCAAACTGCCTCCTCCTGGATTAGATTTTTCTCTCCCTCCAGCAGAGATGGGAAGCTCACAGACCCTTCCACAGTGTTTGCAGGAGCTGAGGACATTTTGGGCACAGACAGAGTGATATCAGGATAAAAGGATGGAAATAGTCAAGGCTGTATTGGGGAAGGCAGGGCTGACTGCTAGGACAGAAGTTTGATATTCCATGGGTGGTAATGAGGAAACACCATGTCCTGCTTGTATGGGATGAGGTTCCCTGTCCATCTGTCCCCTCAGCTGTGCCTCACTCCTCTGGGCACTGTGACACCTCTGCAGGCCTGGCTGGCCATGGAGGTGTGAGGGAGAGGAGACATCAAATCCCTGAGATCAAATATTGCAGCTCAAGCACCCTGTGCTGGCTTCCCTTACACAAAAGGCTGTTCAAAGGAGGGCAGCTCACAGCAAGAGAGCAGGGCTGGAAATTCGATGTGCTGAAGGGTTCCTTCTGTCAGAGACCCAGGATCCAGGCCCAGCACTGGCCACACTCCCCTGGTGTCACTGCAGAAGCCATTCCCTTCCCTGCTCCTTTTTCCCTCACCAGGGTTTTCACTCAGACCCCTCCTAGCTCAGGCTCCCTCTCCCCCAAACAGAAAAGGAAAATAACCTGGTTTATTTCAGACCATTTGTAGGAGAGAAGAATTGGGGGTTTGTTTTTTTTTACTAAGAACTGCCAAGAGTCCCAAGAAAGCCCCACAGGAACAGCTGAGGAAAGATCTGAACTGCAGGAGGAAGGGCAGGAATGCACTCTGAGATCCAGCCCTGTACATGCACAGTGACACAGAGCAGAAGAGACCTTAAACATCATCCAGTGCCACCCCTGCCATGGCAGGGACACCTCCCACTGTCCCAGGCTGCTCCAAGCCCCAATGTCCAACCTGGCCTTGGGCACTGCCAGGGATCCAGGGGCAGCCACAGCTGCTCTGGGCACCCTGTGCCAGGGCCTGCCCACCCTGCCAGGGAACAATTCCTGCCCAATATCCCATCCAGCCCTGCCCTCTGGCAGTGGGAGCCCTTCCCTGTGTCCTGTCCCTCCATCCCTTGTCCCCAGTCCCTCTCCAGCTCTCCTGGAGCCCCTTTAGGCCCTGCCAGGGGCTCTGAGCTCTCCTCAGAGCTTTGCTGTCTCCAGGCTGGACATGGAAGTCAGTCCCTCAATGTCCACCCAAACAACCTCCTTGGGAAAAACCTTAAAACCCACTCCTGGTGTGGTGGCTGTCCTTGGCAGGACCTTCCCTGCCAGACCAGACTGGACAATTCCTCCCCTGCAGCCCAGCTTCTCCCTGTGTCAAAGAAGAACAAAGCCAACCCATCCCATCCTACATGACCCCTGGGAGCAGACAGGGGACAGCTACATCCCGAGGGAGAAATCCAGGATGCTAAAGGACAGGCAGGCCAGTCCCATGGAGAATCACACAGGGGGAAGCCACAGGGCTGGGACCTGCATGGGAAGGGGCCCCCAGGGCTGTGTCTGATCCCCCTTTGCTCACCTTCTTCTCGTCGCCCTCCTGCAGGAGCTGGAGGTGGCTCCTCTTCTCGCTGTCCCTGCGCAGGGAGCTGTTCTGGTGGTGGGGCAGCCCCGTGGGGGGGGACACGCTGCGGCCCTGGGGGTCCACCCAGGTGTAGATGTGGTTGGTGACATAGCCCCCAGGGATGCGCCCCACCGAGTGCACAGACAGGTTCAGCTTCTTGCAGCCCTTCAGCACCTGCAGCACAAGCCAAGCACAGGGGTTAGTGCCCACAGGGCCACCTGCACGTCAGGCAGACACAGCTTTGCACTTCTGGAGGCTTAAAGATCTCCAGCTCCTCTGCAGCCACCGATGAATGATGGAGCTGCATAAAAAGCTGGTGGGAAAAGCTGGGATTTTTCTGTTTTCTCCTGGCTGCAATAGAGATAAGGCAAAGCTGCTGCTGCTGCTGAAAAAACACAGAGAAAACCTTTCCCATCAGCCAGGGAAAGAGCAGAGTGAAGCAAAGTGGGGAGGTGAGGGGGAAGAGCCATGCCCAGGATGGGCTGAACCCAGGACTGAGCAGCTTCTGCAGCTCTGGAGAGGAGCCAGGGCAGGACAGGGAGCAGTGCTGGAGGAGAGCAGCACTGATCCTTGTCCAGAGCCCTCTCCAGCCCTCATGGAGCCCCTTTAGGCACTGGAAAGTGCTCCAAGATGTCCCTGGAGCCTTCTCCCCTCCAGGCTGAACAGGGATGTCAGCCTCTCAATGACTGCGCTGGCAGCAAACAAAACCAGTGTGGGAAAAGCCTCAGCTCTGTCCCCACAGCTCCAACCTCTGCCATTGGAAAAGCTCCTGCTGCCTTCAGGGAACATTGACAGCACTCCCAGAGATTCAGCCATTGAGTTAGCAGCTGCCTTTCCCAGCACAAGCTCCCAATTAACGAGTGGAATAATTACTAAATACACACATACAGTTAAACCGGCACACACACAGAGATGACCTTGGGGGCCAGAGGAGGTGATTTGCAATAATTCCTCTGCCCCTCCAGTTTCCACTTCGAGAAGCTGACACAGGAACTTCAATTAACATAGAGGAGTTCTCCCTGGGGACAGCTGTAAGTGCTGATCCCTCCAGAGGCCTCAGGAGCATCAGCACTGCAGATCTGCTCTCAGGAGGGAGGTGTTTGGGGCTTTTTTCCCATGTGTACATCATCCTGATGAGCTGCTCCTGCAAGGTCTCCTGTCCCCACTGAGCAGAGAAGCTGCTGAGCAAGGCTTGTGGCTGGGAAGGACTAAAACCAGCAGTAAAGGGTAAAATTGTCACTAATAGTGGGCTGGCTGGATCCCAGCTCTGAGCTGGCAGCACTCCTGTCCCTCCCTGCCAGAGCCACGGAGAATCCAGCTCAAACCCCAGCTCAGCACCTCCATCACACACAGCAACCTGCCTGCAAACTTGTCACATGCTCCCAAGGTCACCAAGAGCCTGGAGGGCTGGCACAAGGACTGCAAAACTACTGGAACCCAGAAACCTGGGATTTTTGAGCTTTCTGTGCTTTCTGACACTGACCCCAGGAGAACACTGGTTCTGACTTGAGGCCGTGGAGAAAGCTTCCAAATTTGAGTGATGGAGTTAAAGTCACGGGTGTGCAGTTAAATAGAAGTGTGAGATTTCACATGGTGAAGGGTTTCAAATTTGAGGGCTTTAGAATACAGTAATAGATATGGGACAAGATGGAGGATTTTGGGCATTGTCTGTTTTCTGTCTTCCTCCTCCTTCTCCATGGTTTCAGGCAGTAGTTTCTGGTTGCACACTCAGTGCTGCACTGAGGGTCACAGGGGTTTGGTTATTGGGTCAAAAGTATCAATAATATGGGTGTTAATTCTCTGTTGGACTGTTTAGCTTTAAGAGACCTTGTAGCAGCTGGATTCATCTCCATTTTGCTCGCTTTTAGCTGGTAGCTGGGAGTGCTGCAGAACTCTCTGTACTTTAGATAAAATTTAATAAACAACCAAGCCCAAACACGAGAAATTAGTCTCCTTTGTATTTTTAATCCTGACTCTGAGTGAAGACAGAAGAAAATTAAGACAAACAACTAATTAGGTGGTGGAGTTAACCCATTTACACAAAACCAACAGCCCCATTGGGACACCCACACAGCCCTTCACCCCCCTGGGCTGCTCACCAGCTCCAGCCCCTGTTCCTGCAGCTTCCCTGCTGGGATCTGCTCCCTCCCTGCAGGCACTCGGAGCCAGCTGGGCTGCCAGAGGTGCTCACCACGCTCAGTCCTGCCCAGGTCTCTCTGGGATGATGGAGCAGGTTCTGAGCCCTCTGCCCACTCCAGGAGACCACTCTCCCATGGGCACCGTGGCTGTGCCAGGCTTCGGGGCACAGAGCAGCTTCCCGAGCCACACTGCCATACAGCCAGGCTCAGGATGGGCTGAACCCCACAGAAATCAATGAGCTGGGGGTGGCAGGGACCCTTCTCACCTACCCCAAGGCTACCAGGGCAAGGGATCCCTGTCAGATGGGGTGCAGGACCCCCTGAAATGTTCTTTGCTCATCCAAAAGGAAGCCATCTCTATAAAACCTCTTTAGAGTCTGTATAAATAACATCATTGTACCCTTGCTCCTAGGTCCAGTTTAAGGCCCCTCAGAGGAAGGACTGGAGCGTGTCCAGGGCAGGGAACAGAGCTGGGAAGGGTCTGGAGCCCAAGGAGAGGCTGAGGGAGCTGGGAAGGGGCTCAGCCTGGAGAAAAGGAGGCTCAGGGGGGCCCTTGTGGCTCTGCACAACTCCCTGACAGGAGGGGACAGCCGGGGGGGTCGGGCTGTGCTCCAGGGAACAGGGACAGGTGGAGAGGGAACGGCCTCAGGGTGGGCAGGGGAGGGCAGGGTGGGCAGGAATTTCCTCATGGAAAGGGTGATTAAGCATTGGAAGGGGCTCCCAGGGAGGTTTAGAGTTCCCATCCTTGCAGGTGTTTAAGGAAAGACTGGTCATGGCACAGGGATCTTCTTCTCTCCTTTTCTCAGACAATCCATCCTGGCAGGGAGGAGAAGGAGCAAAGGAAATCTCTGGGATTTGATTCACACAGGAGACACTCGAGGCACAGGAGCAGGAACCAGGCACGGGCTCCACTCCATTGTGCAGTGTCACAGCTGCCCCAGGGACAGGGCAGAGGTGGCTGATGGAGCCTGGCACAGCCATTTAGCCTCAGCCAAATGTCATCCCCTGGCACAGCAGCAGGGCTGCTCTCTGCAGGCACAGGGAAGTCAGCAGGGATGAGAGGCCAGAGATTTACATGGGGATTTTTATGTCCCCCTGCAGCTCCCTTGACAGGGCCACCAGGAGCAGGGATCTCGGGCTCAGGGAGATGTTTTATGCATGAAGGTGACAGCAGAGAGCCCGAGGGGAGGGGAGCAGCTGCAGGAGGACCAGGGCTCCCTGGCAGCCCCATCCAAGAGGGGACATACGAGTGACAGAAGCTGGCAGTGCCCAGCAGGACATTGCTGGTGACAGTGTCTCCCAGAGAAACAGCACTGCAGCAGGCTGGTGACATTCTGGGGAGTCCTTTATACATTCACTGAGGTCTCTCCTGTGCTCAGTGAGAAGCAATTTCCTGTCCAGCATAGAGTTTCCTTCCCAAAAAACCCTCCCTGCTCATGCCCAGGCTGAAAGAGGAGCCCATCAGAGACTCTCCCTCACTCAGAAGCCCTTCAGGACACACCTTTTGGACCAGGTCACCTGCTGACCTGCACCTTTTGGAGACCCTTTGGGTGACCACAGGTGGGGGAAGACAGTGACACCCACAAAAGATTTTTAAGGGACTTTTAGAGGGACTATGCATTAACAGGACAAGGGGGAATGGCTTCACGCTGAGGGATGGTAGAATTAGATTGGATATTGGGAAGAAACTCTTCCTGTGAGGAGTGCAAACCCCTTCCCCAACCTGGTGATCACTGAAATCAGTTCTGCTCAAACATCTGAGCTTCAGGAAGCTTTGTGTCCATCATGCACCAGCTCTTTAAACTGCAGCCCCAGCTGTGAGAGGAGATGAGAGGGAAGCAGTTTTCCCTCAGTTTCCCTGGAAGAACAGCTCAGCATGTGACCCACACTGCAGCACAGCAGGCATGGGGACAGCACCTGGCACACATCTACAAAACCTTTGTGCAGCCACACTCTGAAGCAGATTTGAACAAAGTGCTTGGCACCAGGAGCTGCACAGGGACGAGGCACCAGGTGTGCCAAGTGGGAGAAGTTTCCACCTGCATCCAAACCAGGACAGAACCCACCAGCAGCTGCTGTGCTGAGTTCCAGGAGAGCAGAATTTCCATCATCTCCCTGCATAGGGAGAAATGCTGCACTTCCCCTCTATTCTGGGTTTTTTTCCTCCCAGGTTTTATCAAGGCCAGACCTCAGCCCTGTCTGCAGGGAGGGCTCAGAGCAGGGCCCAGGTTCTGTCCCCTGGGACAAGAGGAATGGGCAGGAACTGATGCCCAGGAAGTTCCACCTGGACACAAGGAAGAATTTCTTCCCTGTGCAGTGACTGAGCACTGGGACAGGAGCCCAAAAAAGGTTTTTCCACTGTGTCCTCCTCCCATGGAAGTCTTTATCCTGCTGGTCCCTGCCCAGCTGCTGCTCAGGCTCTGAGCACTTCCCTGTCCCCATTCCCAGCGAGGTGCCACAGTGCCACCAGGCTGGCACCAGCCCTCCAATGTTGATGTTGCTGCCAGCCCTGCTTATAAAGCCACCACAGCAAGAGAGAGGAGAGAAAGCCAGAACCTGCCCACACAGCAACACAGATCATCCCAGCTCCCTGGGACAAAAGGAGAAGCTTTTCAGCAGAGTTCTAATCACAGAATTCCAGAATCATTGAGGTTGCAAAAGACGTCCCAGACCATCAAATCCAACCTGTGCCCCATGCCCACCTTGCCACCAGCCCAGAGCCCTGAGTGCCACCTCCAGCCCTTCCTGGGACACCTCCAGGGATGGGCACTCCAAACCTCCCTGGGCATTTCCAATCCCTGACCACCCTTTCCATGGGGAAATTCCTGCTGGTGCCCACCCTGCCCTCCCCTGGCCCAGCCTGGGGCTGTTCCCTCTCCTCCTGTCCCTGTTCCCTGGAGCACAGCCCGACCCCCCCGGCTGTCCCCTCCTGTCAGGGAGTTGTGCAGAGCCACCAGGGCCCCCCTGAGCCTCCTTTTCTCCAGGCTGAGCCCCTTCCCAGCTCCCTCAGCCCCTCCTGGGGCTCCAGACCCTTCCCCAGCTCTGTTCCCTGCCCTGGACACGCTCCAGCCCCTCAATGTCCTTCCCAAATTGATAGGCCCAGAACTGGACACAGGATTTGAGGTGGCCCCAGCAGTGCCCAGCACAGGGGGACATCACAGAGGACAGGCTCTGGCTGGGAATTCTGCAAGGGAAAACTTTTTCCTGTCCGACACACAACTGTCCTGTGTGCACTGACTGCAGAGATAGCCCCCAAAGCCACAGCAGAACTCAGGCTGCGAGTTTTTTGGGAACTCAGGTTATCTGATGGGCACACTGAACCTCACCCAGACACCCCTGAATAACAAACTCCACCTCCTCAATGCCCTGTGCTGAATCAGACAGTGCAGGCTGCATCTCCAGCTCCTTTCTCAAGCCATTCCAGGGATTTGCTGCAGTCTCAGATCTGACTTTACCCCATCTCTGGTGTGTTTGAGGACCATGGGGTGGGAGGTTTAGGGCTGGCACCACAGTGTGCAAGCTCACCTGCCAGCAGCCCAGCTTGAAGAAATAATTTATGTGAATCTGGGAATTAGTGCCAAAATCTTTAGCAGAGAAACAGTCACCAACTGCCCAGAAATGTGATCAGAAGCAGCAAGTGCCAGAGAGAGAGGCAGATTGATTCCATGAGGCCACTGATCCCCTAACAACACTCTATTTAATTATCTGTCAAGCCCTCTGAGAGGAAAGGACATCATTTAAACTGATCAAAAAAGGAAACACACATCTCTTGTGCCACAATTACCTTTAAAAAAAAAAACCATGAAACCCAAACAGCTCTCAGTACATCATGTTCTTTCCTAGGATCCAGAGTGGCAGCTGCCATCCTTGTAAAACCCTGCAGGTCTCATCACCGAGGGCTTTCCTCTCCCATTTTCCCCCCTCATAGTCCCCACTTCCCAACAGCCCTGAGAGGTTATGTAAAAACACCTCCCAAAATCCCTCCAGAAGGAGCCCAGATGCCAGAAATCGATGGCAATTAAGCACCAGGATGCTCCTGGCAGCCTGCCTGTACCTGGCCCTCGCAGGGACACAGCCCCCTCACCTCACCTTTAACCATGAGCCAACCTCCCCCTCGCCACTGCCTCCAGCTGCTTTTCCTCCCGGCAGGAACAGCCTCGCTGGAGCTGGTTTGGCTCTGGGATAATGGGCATGGAATAATGGGAATGGGATAATGGGTACGGGAAAATGGGCACGGGATAATGGGTATGGAATAATGGGCACGGGATAATGGGTATGGGATAATGGGTATGGAATAATGGGTATGGGATAATGGGTACGGGATAATGGGCACGGGATAATGGGTATGGGATAATGGGTATGGGATAATGGGCATGGCTCTGCTGGCCAGCTCCAAAGGTCAGTGCAGAGGTTATCAATCAGCAAAGCACCGGCAGTTTGGCAGCACGTCCCCAAAAAGTAAGGCCCGGGTTTAGAAATCAAGCTGCAGAGGGAAGGAAATGCTGAGATACCACAGGAGGGAGGCAGAGGGAGCTTTTACAGCGCGTTCTGGCACCGTGCAGGGAGCGACTGGCACGAGTTTGTCCCACCACTATCCCTGCTCCATCCCAGGGTGTTCCTGCTGGACTCGGGTGGGTTGAAGTTTGTGGGATCAGATGGACTGAGCAAAACAAAACAATCCTGCTGGCAGCGGGAATGAAGCAGCTCCCTGTGGCTGCTGGGGAGGGGCAGGAGATTTTACAGGAGATGGATTGAGCCACATCAGCTGAAAGGCTCCTCTGCCGAGACAGGACAGGCACGTCCTGCCCCCAAAACCTTTGCTCCAGGGACCAGCTGCAGGCAGGATGGGTAAAAGGCTATTGCAGATCCCACTGCACACCTGGTTAAGGCCAAATGTTCCAGGTGAAGCCAAGAGTGACTGTCCCCTGCCCCAGAGTGCAGTTGTAAAGAAGATATTTTGGAACAAGTGTTGCCCAGAGAAGCTGTGGCTGCCCCTGGATCCCTGGAAGTGTCCAAGGCCAGGCTGGATGGGGTTTGGAGCAGCCTGGGACAGTGGAAGGTGTCCCTGTCCATGGAACTGGATGAGCTTTAAGGTCCCTTCCAACCCAAACCAGTCTGGGATTCCATGATTTTGAGTCTATCCCATCCCCACGCTGCCTGACAAAGCACAGGGAGCTGGATCTGAGCAGAGGAACTGGGAATGGAATGGGCTGAGGGGGGCAAAGAGCTCAGCCCTGAGCGGGGACACAGGGGCTGGAACGAGGAAAAGGTGACAGAGGCAGGAGGAGAGAGCAGGACACAGGAGGAGGTGAGGGAAGGACAGATGGACAGACAGCAGCGGTGCCACGGTGCAGGGGACACAGAGGGGACACAGGTGACACCAGGTGGGACACAGGGGTGATACAGGGGTGACACAGGGGATGTGGAAGGGACATAGGGGATGTGGGGGTGACAGGGGTGACATGGGGGATGCAGGGGTGACACGGGTGTGACACATGAGTGATGCAGGGGTGACACAGGGGACGCAGGGGATGTGGGGGTGACACGGGGTGACACAGGAGGTGCAGTGGTGACACGGAGGTGAGCAGGGATGACACAAGGATGACACAAGGGTGACACAAAGGTGACACAAGAGTGACACAAGGGTGACACGGCCTCCCTGCAAGAGGACAAACGACAGTTGTAGGACACAGCCCAATCTCTCCCCCTGTCCCAAGCCAAAGGACAGCAGTTGGGCTTTCAAGTAGTGGCACTTATGCAAATCAATGCAAATCGATGGATAATTATGGTGATTGCACACATTTAGCCCCAAGGCATCAGGAAGCCCATGTCCCTTCCACCGGAAAGGTCAAGTGAAATCCTAGCTCCAGCACCTTCCCCTCCAAGGGCTGACACCTCCCCATCCCCACTCGGCGACCTCCCAGCCCTCCAAGCTGGTCCCTGCCCAGTGCAGCTCTCAGGCAAGCCCGGGACAATTGTAAAAAGAGCAGAAAACTCCACATAATTGTGGAAACAAAGCAAAACCAAAACTGTTTGGGTGCTCTGAGGGCAGGGGGGAGGCATAAGGGAAATGCAGATTAAAGCACTGCCTCCTCCTTCCTCGGGTCTTCTCTCTCTGCTCCACACCAAGCCATGCTGACAGGAGTGAT